ATGTCGATGAAAGACGCAGAGTGGAGCATCAGGTTGTTCGGGTACCTGCAAAAAAGAGGGCAACTTGACAGCCAATCCAGACGACCTTCAGGAGTACTCACCTGCGTTGGGTGGAATATCACGTCCTAGGGGCGGATTGAGGGCGTTTTGCGAGTAATTCTGGGCGATCTCTTCAATCTCATTGCGGAAGGCGGCAAACAAACGCTTATAGCGCATCTCGTGGCTGAAGCCTGGCAATGGAAGCTTCTCCAGATTCTGCAGCATTTTCAGACTCAGCAGAACACTCTGTCCACGAGCGCACTGGTTGTTGTACGAGGTCATGATGTTTCGCTTGACGGATCAAGGTGTCGGAGGGGGCGACCAATCGACAGAAAAAGGCAGAAAGAGACGAAATCTTGTTAATTAATTGACAAATTGACAAATGATCACGTTTCTAGCCCCCGCCTGGCACCTTCCAAGAGGGCACTGGCACAGAAAGAGGTTACCCAATGAACCGGTCTGGAGGATAATGACGAACTCCAGCCAGACACGAAGGTTTAAGGTTGTTGGGGGAGTGGTGAAGTGAAGCGTAGTCAGAAGAAAAATCCCATCTTTTTTAGTGGACTTGCAGCAGCCAGTTACGTGGAGCAGCCCAAATAGCATCAAAGCTAGCCGTGAATAACATCACTAGTAATAATATTAATAATAATAATAATAATACAATGAGAATAATAAAAAAATATAATTAAGAATAATCGAACTAATAGTTGTTGTAGCTGTTTTTTAGAAAGGGAAACGGGAGACTTTTTGGTATAAAAAGAAGAAGGAGAGGAAGCGGGATTGCATAAAAAAACAAGGAAGGGGTTGAAGGAGCAATAGAAGAGGCAATAGTGGAAGTGTGGTAGGAAGCGGGGAAGACGAAGGAGTAGGAGAAGGAAAGGAAAGGGAAGAGGAGGAAGAGGATGAGGAGGCGGAGGAGGCGGAGGAGAAATAGACATAGAAAGAGTAGTATTGGTGGTATGAGTAGTAGCGGTAGTCACATAAAATAAGCTGTGACTTGAAAAACCTCTCCAATACCGGTCAAGGCGAGCGTCGAGACAAAATACAAATAGTTGGCTGGTTGGTTACTTGAAGAGATTTTGGAGATCCT